ATTTTGCTGTCTGCAGAGCTCTGGTAAAGAATCTTGGGAAGGGAAAAATGGTGGGCTTTGGGGGAGGGAAGGAAAAGGAGAGAGCTGGAGGGAGGGGCTCGAATTGGAGGCCCCCTAGAGGGCGCAGAAAACTACAAAGTGGGGGGGAAAAAAGAAATTTTAAAAACCTTTGATATCAAGGCTCTGAGTCCTAGTGGTCAGTGCACCAAGCATTCAGTCTCTCCTTGCCTTTGTCTTACTTGTGTTCAAAGAAAAACAACCAGGAAAAAAAAAATCTCATCATGGCAGATATCCACCACGAAAACGAAGAAATGGAGCAACCCATGCAGAATGGAGAGGAAGACCGCCCTTTGGGAGGGGGCGAAGGCCACCAGCCAGCAGGAAATAATAGACGGGGACAGGCTCGCCGGCTGGCCCCTAACTTCCGATGGGCCATACCCAATAGGGAGGTCAATGATGGGATGGGCGGAGATGGAGATGATATGGAAATGTTCATGGAGGAAATGAGAGAAATCAGGAGAAAACTTAGGGAGCTGCAGTTGAGGAATTGTCTGCGTATCCTTATGGGGGAGCTTTCTAATCACCATGACCATCATGATGAATTTTGCCTTATGCCTTGATTCCTGCCATTTTCCATGAGATTAATACTGTGATTCTCACTTGTTTTCTTTTTCCTTGCATTTCCTGATATGCCTTTACTGATCCGTTTGCTGTGAACCTTATGTAATTTCCATGTGTCAAGTGGGTTCTGTGTTACCAGCTTCTAATTGGAGATTGCCTTGGCGCACAGTCTTAAGTTTCTGTCAACAGTAGTTCCACCAATTTGCATGGAAAAATGTAAAGTTAATAAAGCAATTAAAAAGCAACCTATACATTTATTGTCTCATTAAAAACATATACAAATATATACAGGGTGGGGCAAAAGTAGGTTTACTCTTGTGTTATTATTGTATTATTTTCCATATGAACAACTGTAAACTTACTTTTGCCCCACCCTGTATATATGAGCCCCCCCAAAAAAATCTGAAATCAAATCCCCCAGGGTGTTAATTGGGGAACATTTCTCTGTGGTTGGATAATATATGACTTTTTTCCTTTTATTATGTGGAGTTTTAGAAATAATGAAATTTTTTCAATGAGTGTGAATGTAGTAAAGGTACATCATAATTATTGGTTCAACAAACTTAAAGAATGAACTTAGCTGGAAGAATAAACTCTCTTTTATTACAGATACATTTTTTTTAAAGAGCCAGTCTTCTGTAAAATGGGGAATAATGCTTGCCTTACAGGCTGCTGAGGGGAATAGATGAGGTGTAGAACTGTGTTCAGCTACCTTCCTATGCAACTCCCCAGTATTTAACAGAACCCTGGCCCCCATAAGGTATGTGGGAAGGACTAAAGGGAGTTTTCACCCATGCTCACAAGTCCAGAGTGCAAAAGTTAAGTGGATTCCACCTTGTCATTCCTCTGATATTTGTGACACTACTACCATGTCAGTTGAGCATACTTTCCCTTCTGGGTTCTGTTACTGATCTGCTAGAGCCTTCAAGGTAAAAACCCACTGATTTCTCTGGATTCCTTAGTGAGTTAAAGCCCCCTTTGACTTCTATAGAAGTTTGGAGGATGCCTTTATTTTCATTTTATAGTTGTATATCAAGTGAACACCATTCTCATGTTCTTGGTCTTAACATTGGTTCTTAACCAAAAACTTTTGGTTTTATTTTTATGCCCCACCTCTTCAAAGAACCCAAGACAGGAAGGCACTGGGGCCTAGCTCAGGAGACACATCTAGATGTCAACATAGTTTGTCCAGAATTACATTACTTCAAAACACCAAAACAAACAGGCCAAAAGCTTTGTTTTGCCTGTGTTTCTACCCTTTTGGGGGATTTTCTCAAAAGACTATCTGGGCAGGCCTGCCCAACCGGTTTAACAGACTTGCCCTGAAGGCATGTAAATTATGTTAGGGAAATACATTTTAAAGCTGAAACGCTCCTTTCCATTTTTATCCCTACCACACCTGAAACATTGCTTTGTAAGTTCTTAAAAACAATACTAAATACTTGGCAATATTAATTTTTTTGAGTGTGTGCCCTTCTAAAGGCAATGATTTTGTCTTAATGATCCTGGAGCTCAGTTTCTAGTGTAGTGCCTGACATACTAGGTATTTAATTATTAATTTTTTGACTGATAATTAACTATAATGGAGTTCAGGACCCAGCTCAGTACTGTTCGTCACTATCCTTTATAATTAAGTGGCCTAAGGCAAGTAACTACTTAACTGGAAAGTATTACTTTTCATGTCCAAAGGAACTTGATAGGAGAATTCTCTAACCCAAAATCCGAAATGGTGTTTTTTTAACCTTGTGTATGTCAGTGTTTACATAAACACAGACCACTTACTTGAATGTAATCACCTAGGGAAAATGTTAAATATGCTGACAATTCCTATTGTCAACCCCGTTGTCACCCCCAATCACCTGATCAAGAACTACTGTTCTGACAATTCCTTAGCTGATTCTGATGCATCTGAGTTTTGACAACAAAGGCATAGAGAAACACAGTGGTTACACCACTTCACAAATATTGTGATACAAATTACCTTACTTGATTCCACAATGAATATACCTTTCCAAAATATAATATTTCTAAAATTGGACTGCATTAAACAATCAATGTATATGTTTAAACCAGTACTGGTTTTATCTTTCCTAATATCTTATTAATGCATGAATTTATTATTAATAATATTACTAATCATGAATATAGTATTAATAATAAACATAATAATTATAAAATTATTAAATAAGTTAGGCATTATCATTTCTATACAAACCTGTGCCCTTTTACAACAATAATTTCTGTCTTAATCACCCTGGAGCTCAGTTTCTAGTACAGCACCTAATATACTAGAAATTTACTGACATAATAATGCATTTAATTATTCTTTTATTAATTTAATTATTCATATTAAATTTTTAAGTAATTGTTGAGTCTTTGAGAGTGGTTAATTTTTTATACTCATGTTTTAAAAGTTTCTATGAGGAACATTTTTAAATATAACACTTTATAATTATGTAATACAAGGTCATTATACATATTTGGATTTTGCAGAGAATATAAAGTATATAAACAATGCCATACTCCAATCATCCAAAGAAAACACTTACAAGCTTTTTATCATCTTCCTATATTTAGTCAAGATAAAGCCAGGCTCAGAACTTCTTTAGAGGAATACAGAAAAAAAATACTTGAAAAAATCATGGCAGAAAGTTTGGCAAATTTAAGGAAAACTAAAAACTTAAAGATTCAAGAAACCCAGTGAATCCAAGCAGAATAAATACAAATAAGGCCACAGTAAAGCATATAATGACAAAATATCTGAAAACTAGCAATAAAGAGAAAATGTTAAAAGCAACTGGAGGAATGTGACAGAAAACAGAAAGGAAAACAAAGGTAAAATCACCATGTATGGATTACTTAGAAACAGTGCAAGCCAGAGGATAATGGGAAGACAGATTTGAAGTGCTAAAGAAAATAAAACTTGTCAAGCTAGAATTTGATATTCTGTGTAAATGTTTTTCAAAATAATGATAAAATGCTTTAGAATCCAACAAGACCTAAAATGGTTTGGTGCCAGTACACCAGAAATACATGAAAAAAATTTTAAGTGTCCTTCTTACTTAAAAAAAATGATGCCACATGGAACCTTGAATTTGTGCAAATGACAAAAGAACACTAGATATGGCAAATGTGCAACTAAATGTAATTTTTCTCAGTTTTCAAAAAATTTTAAAGATTATTTTTAAAGCTAAAATAAGATAAGTATATTATGGGATTTTTATGACATGTATCAGTAAAACATGACAAAAGTAACAAAACAAAGGAGGAAAATGGAATATGATTGTTATAAGATTCTTCATTTATAAGTAAAATGCAAAATTATTATTTGGAAGTATAGATAGTAATAAGATAAAAATATAGTATGTAGCTGGACCGGGCGTGGCTCAGCAGTTGAGCATCAACCTAGGATCCAGGAGATCAAGGTTTGATTCCCTGTCAGGGCACAAGCCTGGGTTGCAGGCTCGATCCCCAGTGTGGGGCGTGCAGGAGGCAGCCGATCAATGATGACTCTCTCATCATTGATGTTTACATCTCTCTCCCTCTCCCTTTCTCTCTCTGAAATCAATAAAGATATATTTAAATATATATGTAGTATGTAAATTCCAAAGAAATTAGTTAAAGCGTAGTATACTAACAAGCCAACAGAGGAGAGAACATAAATTACTAAAAATGTTCAAGTAATTCAAATGGAGGCAGGAAAAGAGAAAAAAGTGCCAAAAGAGACACATAGAAAACAAATAGCGCCTGGCTGGGAGTGGCTCAGCAGCTGAGCATTGACCTAGGATCCAGGAGACGTCGGTTCGATTCCCGGTCAGGGCACAGGCCCAGGTTGCGGGCTCAGTCTCCAGCAGGGGCCATGCAGGAGGCAGCCGATCAATGATGACTCTCATCATTGATGTTTCAACTCTCTCTCCCTCTCCTCTTTTTGAAATCAATAAAGATATATTTTTTAAAAAAACAACAAATAGCAAAATGATAAATTTGAACCATAGTCTGTTGAAAATTTCTGGAAGTATTGGGGGAACACTTTGTGAAGTGTATGATTGTCTAGTCACTATGCTGTGCACCTGAAGCCGATACAGAATGGTATAGAAGGTAGACACTAATCAAAAAATATATATATATATTTTAAAAACATAGGTATTGCGAACACTCCAGTGAAAAGGCTAGGTTGTCTGGGTGAAAAAGCAAGAATCAAATATATGATCTCTGCCAGATATTGACTTTAAGTATAAAGACATATATAGGCTAAACTCAATGGGTAGAAAAGTATATACCAAGGAAACTACTAATCGTAAGAAAGACAGAGTGGTTATATTAATATTAGACAAAGTATACTTAGGAAACAAGACAAGAATGTCTCCTCTCGTTGCTCTTATTCAACATAGTTCTAGCCATTGTAGAAAGGCAAGGAAATGGAGCCTGGCCAGAGTGACTCAGTTGGCTGAGCACCGTCCTGTGCACCAAAAGGTTGCCAGTTCTATTCCTGGTCAGGGCACATACCTGGGTTGTGGGTTTCATCCCTGGTTGGGTCACTTATGGAAGGCAACCAATCAATGTTTCTCTCTCTCTCTCTCTCTAAGCATGTCCTTGGGTGAGGATTAAAAATAAATAAAAATAAAAAGAGCCCGGCCAGGCGTGGCTCAGCGGTTGAGCATCGACCTAGGATCCAGGCAATCGCGGTTCGATTCCCGGGCAGGGCACAGGCTCGGGTTGCTGGTTGGATCCCCAGCAGGGGGCGTGCAGGAGGCAGCCGATCAATGACTCATCAGTGATGTTTCTATCTCTCTCTTTCCCTCTCCCTTCCTCTCTCTGAAATCAATAAAGACATATTTTTTTACAAATGGAATGAAAGTCATACAAATTGAAAAAGAAATAAATAAAACTATACTTATTTGCAAATAACTTAATTTTCTATGTAGAAAATTTCAAGGAACCTACATTTTGTTATTTTTTAAATAACTCTCACATGAACTTGCAAAGAATATTTTATAAAATAAAACAAGGACACTATTTGCTGCTGTGTAAAGAATTCTTCTACTCTATACAAGTGTGTCATCAGGCTACTTATGAAATGTTGAGGCACAGTTGTCTTGACTCTTCACCAGACTACAGTCTCAAAGGAATTCATATTCAACTAAGGGGAAATTGAGGTGACTAGGAGAAATCATCCCATCTACCAAGTTGTACACCCAGGACTACAGAAGACTGTCACATTCTCCGCCCACCAAGGAATATCCTA